TGACTTGTGCAATTGTCTAATTACATGAGATTGCTAGAATCATGAGTGCTTGATGTGTGCAGGATTGTTTGAATCATGAGTGCGTGATATGTGCTGTAATACTCATCCTCAAGTTGGTGAATGAAGATCCGTAATGCCTAACTTGCGAGATTAAGTGATGGAAGAGGTTAGAACCCAAAGCTTTGGTGAAGATGTCGGCGACCTGCTCAGAGGATGGGAGATGAGTAGTGGTGAAGAGACCAGAGCGAAGTTTGTCTCGAACAATATGGCAGTCAATTTCAATATGTTTAGTCCGCTTGTGAAAAACTGGATTTTGAGCAATGTAGAGGGCAGACTGATTGTCACAGTAGAGAGTCATGGGGTCCTTGTGAGAGATGCCGATGTCATGAAATAATTGTTGTATCCAAACTAGTTCACATGTAGTGACGGCCATGGCGCGATATTCAGCTTCCATAGATGAGCGAGCGACAGTGGTCTGTTTCTTAGTGTGCCATGAAATGGGACTAGAACAAAGAGTGATGAAGAAGTCAAAGGTAGAACGTCTAGTGGTAGGACAACTAGCCCAATCAGAATCAGTATAAGCTTGAATATGCAAATCATTGGAGAAAGGNATGAAATGGGACTAGAACCAAGAGTGATGAAGAAGTCAATGGTAGAACGTCTAGTGGTAGGACAACTAGCCCAATCAGAATCAGTATAAGCATGAATATGCAAATCATTGGAGAAAGGGAAGAAGATGCCTTGACCTGGAATGCCTGTGATGTAGCGAAGAACGCGTGTGGCAGCTGTCATGTGTGAAAATCGAGGTCTATGCATGAATTGGCTGAGAACGTTTACTGCAAAAAAAATGTCGAGTCTGGTGATGGTGAGATAAATGAGGCGCCCGACTAACTGTCGATAAGGACCGGGGATTGGAGAGGAGGTCGCCATCAATGTCGCAGAGTTTCAGGTTCTGTTCCATAAGAAAGGGAGCAGGGCGAGAGCCAAGTAGTCCGCTGTCGGCAAGAATGTCCAAGGCATATTTTCGTTGATTAAGGAAAATGCCTAAAGGTGAGCGAGCAACTTCAATGCCAAGAAAGTACTTGAGAGGGCCGAGATCCTTGGATTTGAAGTGAGTAGAAAAAACGGGCTTCAAGTGAGTAACCTGAGGAAGCTCATTGCCGATTACCAAGATATCATCAACATAAACGAGCACAATGGTTATGTTGGTGGCAGTAATGATTGGAAGAGATAGTGATCGGCTTGCGATTGGACAAAACCTACAGTAAGAAGAATATATGTTAGTTTAAAAAACAAGTTCCGCGAAGCCTGCTTGAGACCATAGAGAGATCTCTAAATACGGCAAACACGTGTCTCCCCCTGAAGACAATAGCCGGGTTGTGGTGTCATATGGACTTCTTCATCAAGGTCACCATGTAATAATGCATTGTTAACATCCATTTAGTGGATAATCCAATGTTTGGCCACAGCAACTGCAAGAACACAGCAGACAATGGTCATTTTGGCAACCGTGTCAAAGGTTTCATGATAATCAATGCTTTCAACTTGAGTGTAGCCTTTTGCCACGAGTTGAGCTTTGTGACTTTCAATGGTACCAACTGCTCGAAATTTTGTTTTAAAGACCTATTTGCAACCGATGGGCTTTTTACCAGGTAGGAGAGGTTCTAATGTCCAAGTGGAGTTTTCTTCTAGGGCCTGGAGTTCAGAGGTCATGGCTTCACGCCAATGAGAGTGGCGATTAGCTTCTGAATAACAAGTAAGATCAACAAAGGTAGTAAGTGCAGTTAAGAAAGAAAAATGTTCAGGAGAAAAATGAGAGTAAGAAAGAAAAGTAGTTAAGTGGTAAGAAATACCTGAGGCATGTGTTGCGGTTGAAGTAGCAATGGACTCCGTGGCAATGGTGAGACAAACATATTCAAGAAGATATGATGGTCAAGTGATAGTGCGACGTGGCCGAAAGAAGTGGGAGGGTTAGGGTCAGGAAGGTTAGGAATGGGATGGGTGGAATTTGGTGGGGTTATGGAAGTGGTAGTATGTTCTAGGATAGGTAAAGGAAGGATAGTGTTGCTTGGTGTATGGGAATAGATATGATTGTGGAATGGGAATTGATTTTCATAAAAGGTGACGTCGTGGGAGTAAAAAATGGCATGTGTGTCAAGATTGTTTAACTTATATGCTTTTCGATTGTTCGGGTAACTAAGAAAGACGCAGCGGGATGCTCGTGAAAAAAATTTATCTCGGTGGGCAGTAAGAGTTTGAGCATAACAAAAGCAACCAAACACCCAAAGGTGATTATAGTTGGGCAGAGTTTGTGTGAATAATTGAAAACAACTTTAATTTTGAAGAGATTTGCTAGGAGTCCTATTGATGAGGTAAGCAGCTATAAGAATGCATTCGCCCCAAAAATATAGGGGTAGATGTGCTTGAAAACGAAGATTGCGAGCAATATTCAAAAGGTGATGATGTTTACGCTCTGCAACACCATTTTGTTGAGGAGTTTCAACGTAAGTACGCTCATGAATGATACCATTGGTATGAAAATAGTTTTGGAGATTTTGAGAAAGAAATTCTTGGCCACTATCAATACGGATAAATTTGACGTTGGAGGTAAATTGATTTTTAACAAGGGCGAAAAAATGCATTAAGTGAGTAAAAATTTCTGATTTAAAATGCATTAAATAAATCCAGATAGTGCGTGAAAAATCATCAACAATTGTCAAGAAATAGTGGGCGCCACAGATAGAAGTAGTAGAGTAACCGTCCCAAATATCACAATAAATTCGATTAAAATGAGTCGTACTTTTATTAGCATGATTGAGAAATGGCAAGCGAGTGTGTTTAGAACGAGCACAAATATCACAATAAGAAAGAGTACATGGACTATAAAAAATTGTAGGAACAATAAAGCTAGAAGGATGACTGAGGCGTTGATGCCATAAGGTCTTATTGTCAAGACTGTGTAAGGAAAGGAAGTAGATTTTTGTGGTCGGAAGATGTAGAGCCCATTACAAGCTTCACCCGCTCCAATCAGCCTCTTCAATTGAAGGTCCTGAAAAAACATTTAGTGGATGAGGAAAAAAAGACAATGTTTAGTGCAAGTAAGTTAAGGGATAGATAGGAGATTGTACTTGAAGTGAGGGACATAAAGGACATTTTGAAAGGCTAGGGAATCAGATAGGCGAACTGTGCCTATTCTCTCAACAGGAACCATGTTTCCCGTGGGTAGCCGAATCGTGCAGCTTGAGGATGGCAATCGGAGGTCCAAGAAGGAGGATCGACATGGGCTCATATGATCAGGGCGCCACTGTCGATTATCCAATCAATTTGAGGATCAAAAAAGGAGAGAGTTGAGAGGGAGTTACCAACAAAATTTGGATTTGGGGATGCGGATGGGTTTTTCAAGAGGTTCATGAGCTATTGATAGCTCTCCAGCGAGAGGCCTCAGACTGGACTGGAGGAAGATTCGGCAAGATGAATGATTGCGGAAGGGGGTTTTTCGAGCAGTGATGGCTTGCAATGATTGCAGGGTTCGCGTCCGGGAGGGGGTAGCCGATTATCAGCCAGCAACAGTAGCGCAAATGGCCATCTTTGCCGCATTTGGTGCACTTTAGAGGTGGTCAGTCATAGGGAGAACTCCGAGTGGTGAGGGCAACATTTTTCGATGGAGTGCGTGAGACATGAAGGAGCCTTTGTTGTTCTTCTTGAAAGAGGATGGAGAACACTTTGTTCAGTAATGGGAGAGAATCGGTGGAAAGAATTTGGAATCGGAGAGCAGCGAATGAATCGTTGAGTCCCAAGAGGAATTGGAACACCCGTTCATCCTCAGGTCTCTTCTCCAAAGTGGTAGCATCAGTTGGTGTTTGGATATTGGCTAATTCATCCCATAATTGTTTGATGCTATTGTAATAATTTGGTATGGATGATTGGTTTTGATGGAGGTAAGAAATTTCTCTCTTGAGGTGAAAGAGGCGAACATTGTTGCCATGGAAAAAAACGAGACTAAAGGTCAAGCCAAACAACACGTTGGTTATCATGGTAGTCTAGGGAATTTGCTAGAGAATGAGTGATCGTGTTGAGGATCCAAGTGAGGACCACGTCCTTGGTACGGCTCCATTTGGCATAATCGGGTGAAGTTGTGGGTGGGGCTTTGAGGGTGCCATTGATGTCGTATGTCAACATATAGCTATACAGGCCTTCGCTTTACATGAAAATAAATAAATGTTGACTTGTTCAATTGTCTAATTACATGGGATTGCTACAATCATGAGTGCTTGATGTGTGCAGGATTAAATGTTGACTTGTGCAATTGTCTAATTGGGATTGCTACAATCATGAGTGCCTGATGTGTGCAAGATTGCTTGAATCATGAGTGCGTGATATGTGCTGTAATAGTTTGTTGAATAATATATGATTCGTTCCGCGTCGAATCATGGGTTGTAAGATAGCTTAAATACACTAAAGAGTATCATAACAACAATATGAAATTTCCATCACCAATAGCTATGCATATTTCATATATTTTGAACGACCTTTTCTAAAGTTAAATAGAATTTCTAATCGAAAATTTTCCTTCTCATAATTAGGGGTTAGCAAAAATTACCTGAACTGTTGGTCCGGACTGAGACTCGTAGGTTCAATCTAGTTCTACTCAAGTTCTAATCGATTGTGTATTAAAATTGAGTGCCGACGA